CACCTCTCCCACACATCCCTAGACAAATTTCTAGCGTCTAATAATGAATTAACGATACCTTTCTTTCCTTTTCTGGCAAATCAAGATGTTCTATCGCAACCGGAAAAACAATAAAGAAATGCAACAATATTTTTGAAGGAAACATCAATAACTAGACATCTACAAGAAGATTCTACAACCTTCTCAAAATATCGTAGATGTCTTATTAAATATTAACTTTGTCAACTTATTCGTTTGTTGATTATAATAGTATATTTCGATTTGCAATTTTTCCGTTCATCAAGGTTACATAATAAAATCATAAAATCCCTTCCATTTCTGATGGGTTTCACCCCACTATTATTTTTTTCATCTTCAATCATTTTTAATGGCTACAGCCCTGGTCTAATAAGGCTCAATTGAATTTGAATATCGATCACAACTGGGATCTTCGCACCCATATTCCCAACATGAGAGAAATGGGAAAAATCGTCATTTTTTTCAAACTGGCCACTAGATACAAGGGTAACAAATTTCTGTGAGGTGTTTGTGGAATCACTTTTTCAAATAATAACGAGTCATTTATTTTTTACACCTGTATGAATTCGTAGGACGGCAACCCATACCCCAGTTATGATTCAAGGTCATTTATACTTGTAGTGTTTATCCTATGTTTACCGACTCATAAACCAACAAATTTTCAAGGTATGACCGAATGACTGAGAGTTTCTGATATGAAAACTGATTTTTTGAAAGTTGTAAAGGAATATATCACTGTATTATACGGAGGCCACTTTTTCGAAAATGACAATTAATCCTATTTCTCTGTTCCTTTTTTTATAGGTTTTGAAAGATCCCTATCGCGATAGTATTTGATATGGAAATCATACAGAAATTTTTGATGAATTATCCCCCAAGATGAGTTATGGTCATCATTTGCATCACGTTCAATTGACGGCATGAAGTCGAACCAGATTTTTTTTCAGTTCTATAAAAATCACATATTTTCAAGAGCTATCAAATGATCCCATGAAAATTCATCATGGACTTGCGATCCACTGTTTGTTATCCCCGACTCACTGGACTTTATATTTGCAGGTACATGAGCTGATGATAAGGCCAGTTGGTGAAAAATATTGAGCAGTATCTTTCATTGTCACTTTTTTCAATAAAATTTTTACCGAAAATCTAGTACTGTTTTCACTCATACAAAAAAGTACACTGCATAAAATAAATATCACTCTTTGAATAGTCATCGGGTTGCAATAATCTGGAGATGAAAAATTGTGAGTTATTTCTAATATATCAAAACGGATTGTTTAAAAAAGCATAAAATGTGATCACCAATGGATGTGGTCCCTTCGTCATTCTTCCATTGGGTTTGTTGGACATATTTTCAACATTTTTCGTGTGAAGTAGAACGAGAGCTTTTTTGTCGAATGAAACGAATATAATCAAAAGAAAATGAGACCTTGGATTTCAGTAGGTCTAATACAATCAATAAAATACAGGGATTATTTGAGAAATGAACTAAAATAAGATTTCTCTGAACGACTCAATAGAATTCAAAAACTATAGAAAAATGGTAAATAACCTAACAAGACAGACAAAAAATAATTTCTATGAATATGTGTTAGAAATCACACGTTAAAAGGTAAGACCTCGTTAGTCCTTAGGTCGCATAAGTTTCTCAACTTCTGAGAGTTGTGGTTCCTATGGGGGCGACAGCTGATTAACGGAAAAATATATTTTAAGATAAAATAAAATTATAAATCAACTAAACTGAATGATGTTCTCATATTCATAACTCAACAGATAGTCTTAAAATAAAGGGAGTGTGATGAAAGGTGGCGGAAGTTGATGATTTGGTAATTTTTCAGTACGTGAAGGAGATACAAATGGCATGTTCAGAAAAACGGTTGTATCGGCTCAACCTGCCATATTTATCATATTAAGAACAAAAAGTTGAATATTTTGTTCGATTGTTCCATTGTTAAATCTTGTCCTTCATTGGAGTGATTCATTTAAGGAAAGGAGCAATATTCTACTCTTATCCAAAGAGAATAAGTTGATTTTTTCGATAAAAAACTTTGCTAAGGTTGTAGGACTGGCAAGAAGAAAAAATAAACTCGAACAAATAGCTGGAGAACTTTCAGGCAAAGCTGGAAAATTCCATCCTGTTCAAGCAGACATATCCAGCGAAGCTGAAATACTTAGTGCCTTCAAGTGGATAAAAGAAAATCTGGGACCCATTCATATTCTTGTAAATAATGCTGGTGTTATGAATTTTGGACTGCTGTCAGAAGGAGAAACAGAGCTCTGGCAAAATATTTTGCAAGTCAATATGATAGGTCTTTCTGTAGCTACACGAGAAGCAATCAGGGAAATGAAAACAAACAAAGTTGATGGGCATATAATACATATCAACAGTACCGTGGGACATTATGTTCCAGACATTCCTGTGAATATGTACACCGCTAGTAAATATGGTGTTACGGCTTTGACAGAATGTTTGCGACGAGAGCTGGCTACCCTGAATTCAAAAATAAAGATAACAGTACGTATTTCTTATATTTTATTATAATAACAAAATTTCACTCATTGAATATATTCACATTCAAAAATTGTTCTATTGGTAAACTTTAAGCTCGTATTTTAACTATGGAGATATATGATTATTTTTCAACTAGTTGTTGCTAGCTACTTAATTAACGCGGACTTCAATTTTAAGAATTGCCAATTTTTTTAACAGCAAAACGTTCCTATCTTCGATTAATAAAACAATCGTTCCACAAAATATAAACACAGTCAAGAAAATTTTCAGCCAAATGAATCAAAGAATAAATGTTTAATGAAGTTCACTACGGTACAACAGTAACAACCACTTTCAAGTCAGTTGATATTGATACGCACAAACGTACAGGCAAACAGAAAACTTAGGCTTCTATTGATTTAATGAAGAACAACAATGATATTTCTTCTCAAATATCTCATTATTTTTTGGAAAAGAAAGTTTTTGGCTTTCTACTACTCCATCTTGATACAAAAAAAGGGATGAGGGAATCTTCCAAAGAAAGGAAGGAAGTAATCAATTAGAAAATAAGTAACTCTATACACAGATAGTCAGACATGCTGTCAGAAGGAGAAACAGAGCTCTTGCAAAATATTTTGCAAGTCACTGGGATAGTTCTTTCTGTAGCTACACGAGAAGCAATCAGGGACATGAAAACACACAAAGTTGATGGGCATATAATACATATCATCAGTACCGTGGGACATTATGTTCCAGACATTCGGCTACCCTGAATTCAAAAATAAAGATAACAGTACGTATTTCTTATATTTTATTATAATAACAAAATTTTACTCATTGAATATATTCACATTCAAAAATTGATCTATTGGCAAACATCAAGCTCGTATTTCAACTATGGAGATATATGATTATTTTTCAACTAGTTGTTGCTAGCTACTTAATTAACGCGGACTTCAATTTTAAGAATTGCCAATTTTTTTAACAGCAAAACGTTCCTATCTTCGATTAACANTCAAATGATGAATGTTGAGTAAACCTTATCACAATACGTCAGTGGTAACTGAAGTTGAATTGGTTGACCGCACAAAAGCATAAAGAAACATACATTCCAAAAAGTATTGTTTTGAGTTCTATCGCCTTCATAAATATCTTTCATGTGCAGACAGCGCTTAGTTATACTTTAATTTCATGCATTAATTTGAAATATTATCATACATCAATGTAACATATTTCTTGTTACCCAATGTGTCTAATTTTTATGAACTATGAGTTGTTTAATGACGTACCTACTTCGTGTTTCAAAACATAACTGAAATTGTTTTCTCCAAGTAGATATATCAATGACACATTCTCCATTTTGTAAATAGAATAATACAAAATATGAAGGGAATATACACCGTAAGCATAGGCTTGTTCCCAACATTATTTCATCATCACATCTCAAAGATATTTTTGTTCAGAAGACAATACTTTTTCTATATGAAGGATCCAGATCGGATTTTCAATAACAAGAAAGTAGTTTTATGACATTGATCATTGATGCTACCTTCAAAACTAACAGAATATGCAAAATTTGTCTTCATATCTTTCATGAAAACGGCACAATATCACCATTAGCATTGGCCAAGTTTATCGATTATCTGCAACTAAGTGTTACTTGCTCATTCAGGCGCACGGCAACGTTGAGCTAATGAAGCCCGGTGAGCCAGAAATACTCAGCTATAGACCATACAATTTAACGAAAGTCATTTTTTGTGGAGGAAAAAATCAGTTTTTTTATCGACCTTTTTTCGGTAATTGTTACCTTCCACAATCTGAAAAAATATAAAAATTATAATGGAGAACTTTATACAAGTGTAAAAACTAAAAA